CCACGATGGTCCCGTACATAAAGTGGGTCAATTTGATTGAAGGCTCGTATCTCTAGAAGGTCAATTTCACTAATTGATCTCTTTTACCACCTCCGTTACTCTATGAAATAACAATTGTCAATTGAATTTATTCTTTCATTTGAATTAGTATATTTGCTTATCTCCATGTCTTGAAACTCAGGGAAGTGCCTCGATCGATTGAACCCTCCTCCGCCCATTCCCCCCCTGACGCGAGTGGAAAAGATTGATACACGGTCCATCCCAATTTATCCATCAACAGCCACCCGGCTGAAAACAGGAGATTTTCGAAAGGAGCCATAAGATGAAAAGTAACTAGGATTACTCAAATGTTCTTGGAAGAGTCATTGCTAGAATCGATACTCAAATCATTTGAGCGATTGAGTCCACGCGATGTACAATTAGGTCACTAGCCGGGACGAGACTCACAAATGCAAGGTGAGTAGCCCAAAAAGCAATTAATCGTGTCCACGCAAGCATTTGAGGAGTGGACGCCTTTGGTTTTTGGATCTTTTGGGGACGGACACGTGACGTCATCGTCGGTCCAAAGCTTTGATAGATTGCGGGCCCAATGAGCCCAAGCAATGAATGATCAAGCCGTGGCCATAGTCGAAGCCGTACAACTGTAGGCCCGGCCCAATATTATGGGCCCAATCACAAGCGCAATGATTTGTATCAGTCTCGGGAGTGTAATTATGACGTCACTCAATAGCAAATGTTTGGGAAACATCATTCGTCGCTCTTGGGCTTATTATTTTCGGATGAAATGTGGGACGTGATTCTCGAAACTAAGGAGCTAATGTGAAAATCCAAAGGCTCCTTAGCTTCCGTTAGCTTCGCGAAAAATTTGGCATTTCTATATAATGTTTTTCAAGAAATCATTTTTCTAAAAAAAAGGCAAAATTTTCCAATGTTTCGCTAAGATTTGAAAATGAACTGATATTCCATTATTTTAAAAAGAAAAGTTGATTTTATTTTTCTAAAGACACGTATACTATTCATGTGATATGAGGATTACCCAGCCGCCAAGATCTCAGTCGCAAGACCCAGGGTTTCTTGAGCCTAGCCACTGGGAACCTAAGCACGGGCTCCAAGGACCCGGGCCTAGCCTTAGTGAACTCTGGCAAGAGGTTGATGCCTTGGGCATGGGAGTCAAACACTACCGCTGGGGACCTGGGCACGAAGATCTTGGGCCTAGCCTCGAGAAACCTAGGCCAAGTCTTTGTGGACTCGGGCCTAGTCGCCGAGGAATTGGGCCGGAGAGCTAGTAACCTGGACACGGGAACCGGTGACCTAGGAATGGTCACCATGGACCCTGGCATGGTCGCCGAGGACTTTTGCATGGACACTAGGGTCCCCAGCCCAACCTCTACAGACCTAGCCTTGGGCCTCGGTACAGGAATAGGGTACCCGGGCACAATCGTTGGGGACCTTAGCACGGCATTGAGATTTTGGACCTGACCTTAGTGGACTCGAGACTGAGTGGCGGTGACTTGGACATGAGAGTTGAGTACCCAAGCATATGCCATCCGGGACCCAGGCACGAGCACTAGGGTCTTAAGCCCAGCCTTTGTGGACTTGGGCCCAAGCACTCGACCAAGGTCCTGGTGTCGGGCGGTCGTGACTTGGGTACAAGACCTAGGTATTTAGGCGTGGCAATCAATGACCTTATCACGGGCACTGAGATCTCAGGCCAAGCCTCCATGGACCAAAGCCCAAACATCAGTGACTTGGGCGCGGGAGTCAACCACCAGGGTATGGCCATTAGGACTCAAGCATGGGCATTAGGGTTCCAAGCACGACCTCTATGGACCCAGGCCTGAGCGTAAGAGTAGGGTCCTGAGCCTAAGGCCGGTGATTTGGATGTGAGAGTCGGGTACCAAGGCATAGCCGATGGGGACCTAGTCATGGGTATTGGGGTGACGTGCGCAACCTTCAAGCACCCGGACCATTAAGTCGCGGGAACGGGCACCAAAGTCTCGTGCACGGGAACTAGGTTTTTGGAACTGACCTATGTGGACCCATGTACGGGCGTCAGGTTTCCCTTGCCCAAGTGCTGCAGACTCTATTCCAAGAGCAATTGTGTAGTCCATAATATGGAAAATGATTTATGATTCTTAAAAGAAGAAATCATCCTTCTGAATTTAGGTATGGGTTTTCTATTGACTATTGAAAAATTTTCCATTGATTAATTTTTTTAAGCAATCACATAACGTAAAATGAGAAAAAAAATTTCCGACAAAATCTTTTTCGCAAAACGAACATAGCGTTAGGAGGTTCTTGGCATTTGGTTTTGTATGAGATTCCACAAAAGGAGAATCGTTTGAGGATTTTGCCTACGGTATGGAAGGGTTTGCGCTCATTCGTGAAAAGCATAGATAGTGGAGACAAATAATAGGAGGGTGATTCTTCGGCATGGGGGCCGGCAAATTCCGATAAAATCCATGGAATAAATTGCTATCTCTTGTCGGTACTTATATCATATCCTCAACACTAGCTTCAAATCTTAGAAAAGTTACTGCTAGTGAGATGAAGTTCAAGGTTGGTAATGTTGTCACCCGGATTAAGAGCACTAGATGTTTGGAACCATTCCATAGAAAGCTAGATATTAGGGGTGAGCGATTCCATTGTTCTGTACAGGTTCCACTTGAAACCTGAAATCTACCCATGGGAACAGGTTTCTCATTTTTTGGAACATAGAACCTACTCTATATACATTGGAACTTAGAACCTGCCGTATTACCAGTTCCAAGATCTACCCAAGTTTCACCTGTATTATTAATTGAACAATTGCAGTAAAACATCACATTTAATGACCTCCACTTGCTGCTGTTACGATCCACTAACCACAACTTATATTTAGATATACGAAAATATGAAACATTAACAAGTCATAAAATAAAAACTCAGACTAGTAGTTTCAAATTATACACTCATCTTCTGACACCATGGAACACTGCAGGATCACGCAAAGACATAAATCAAGAAAAAACACAAAAAACTTGTTTAAAGTTTAAAGTTTTAGATTCCAGATTTCGGGTTTCATATTCCACCTACCTAGAACCTAGAGTTTATCTGTCAAAACAAGTTCCTTAATTTTTGAAACCTGAAACCTACCATGCATACCTCGGAACCTGAAACTTATAGATTCCCACCGGTTAGGTTCTCAAGTTCCAGATTCTACCCTGAAATCATACGTACCCTTACTAGATACACATCATTTTGAAAAGCGATTTCAACCCGAATCCGTATTTGCTAGGTGGGCGCAAAAAAAGTTACTAACAAAATGATGGGTATAATTGGACATGTGAAAATCTTCGATTTTGACTCATGGGCCCTTTAGACAGCTGATTTCTCTTTAAAGGGTGGGGTCATTTCAAATTGGCCTGCTAAACCGCTATTTCAGATTCCACGAATGCCAATTCGAGCAGACATCTGTCACCAAAATTCTTCGAATAATTCAAGATTTAATTCCTCGTCTTAATCTTTTGTACTTCCACTCGTCGGGCCCGCACCAAAAGACCCCTTGGGCCCCCTTTACAGGCACGACGGCTTGTTCTTGTTCCCGCTTTCGAGCAAAGAGACAAGTGAAGACAAAATGGGCAGGAGAGGGATCGAGCGGTGGCGTGTCGTGTCCTTTTTTGATAATCCGAAAAACAAAACACGCCCACCGCTTTCCACGTCGTATCTGGGCCCCACCCGGGCTTTCTTACGTGGCGTGACGTGGAATTGTGTCCTTTTTGGGCCCCATCGAGAAACTGGGCACTCGGGACCTGAGAAGGAAAAGAGAGTGGGTGCCCACCACGTGACGTCCACGATTAGGTCCCCGACGATAGAGAAAGTTCGCCTACTAACTGAAAAATTGAAATATTAGATATTATAATTAGATAGGAAAAAACCTCAAAAAAAAAATTTCAAATTATATCTACTGTGATATTCACGATTAGTCACAAAAAACATCACATAGATACAAATCTATCTAGGATTTTTTGTCTCACAAAAAAAAAGTTTTGGGTAAATATGTCACACCAATACAAGTTTAGGGTAAATTTGTCACACGGTTATAAATTTATGATTTTTTTGTTGTCACACGGTACGTATCGTTTGGGATTTTTTGTAACTTTTACCCTAATTAGATTGCACAAATCACATTAAATCAGAACCTCTGTTAATAATATTCGAGACTATTCGAGACGGGAATCAAATGCATGATACGTGATTGGAATGGATATATACTTTTCTTATAAGCATGGGAAGTAAATTTTTCCTTATGACTATAAAGTCTAAAAATAATGTTATCATGAGTTTACATTAATTGAACCTAAAGGAGTAAATTTTGCAAATAAAAAAGTTACTGTAATTTGTTAATTAATTCATCGCATCTGAACATTGAATTTCGTTATTGTTTCGTATTGGCTAATGATAAATCAAAAGGATACCTTATTTTTTTTGTTGAAACTGGCAAGACATAATCATATCTTTGGTATTTATATGATAATTGACTTGTTACATCAATATTTATTTTAAGGATTTCTACAAATTAATGAACTCGAAATCCATGAAATGTCTCATTAACATGATGGATTGAGTACAATGTTACTCGAAATTTTGGATGGACGAGTCAAATATATACCTATACTTATGTATGTATGTATGTACGTACGTACGTACGTACTATTAAGATGTCGCATGTCAATGATTTATTGGCGGTGAAATCTAGCACAAGACCATTCTTTTGTGTCCTTGACATGTGCCATGTACCATTATTTAGCGTACTGCAAATTAAGATGTTTGTCCCGTGTCAATGAGAGGCAATTGTTTGTTAATTTTAGCCCATCTCCATGGGGACGAAGGTGCCTTGTTGATATGTGATTATGGTTTTCTCTTCCTAGGAAATCATGCCTTTGCATTTTTAATTGGACGACCCCCCATGAAACGTAGAAAAATAATAGGAAAATATTGCACAAAATGCTTGGACCATGTTTGAACACCTTTACCCAATAACATCATAATCCACACCTTCTTTGCAACTATCAAGTGCACACAAATACAAAAAGGATTGTGTGCCATGCCTATAATTTGGGACTTGATTATTCCTCTTCCCTACACACCCAACCATAAAGAAAATTAACAATCATATATTTTCAACTCGACCTCGACATATATTACAACTTATTTGTAATAATAATCGTCGTCGTCGTCGTCAAGAGACGCAACATGCATTGGGATTCTCGTCGCTGAAGAGCTGAGGAGCAGGCGGGGGTCTCTCGATGATGTAAAGCGGCTGATAATAATACATCATCCTCCTCATACCATCGTCGTCGTAAAAGGCCACGTTCTCCACTTCCTCTCCTTCCATTTTGGCCTCTTCCGCTTTCTCTTCTGTCCCGTTGTCGGGCTTCTCATTTCCCTCTCCCTCTTTCTTTTCTTCTTGCGGTTTCTCCTCCTCCTTTTTCTCTCCCCCGTTGTTTTCATCCTTCTTCTCCTCCGGCTTCGCCTCTTCCGCCGGTTCACTTCCCTCCTTTTTCTCCTCTTGCTTTTCTGGCTCCGGCTGCGGGATTATTTTGGCTTGCTTTTTGGTTCGTCTATAAACATAGTCGACGAGCTTGTTCGGGTCCATGGTCCCTGTGACCATGACTTTTCCCGAGCTTAACTCTGTCGCCGCCGTTTGAACTCCTGTTGATTAATACAGAGCAAGTGAACACATCAAATAAGAAAAAAAATCTCAATTTATAATAAAGTCTCAATTAATCTGATCATATTGCAATCATATCTATATGAATTTGCTAAATCTTACCTCTCATTTTGAGTATCTTCTTCTTAAGTTGCTCAGCACAGGCTTCACAGTGCATGTTGACATTTAGCTCCACGGTCACGATCCCACTAACCTGGAACAAAAAGGAGAACCAAAAAGCGTTATTTACAAAGAGAAATTACAACCGTTTTTCCCCTTCAGTTTGCATTATCTAATTAGGGTGATTAACCTTATCTTTTCACTGTCGTTATGGATTAATCATGCGGTAATTTTCGGTGATTAACTGTCAAAAACCATGAGACCTGTGAAGTGACGACTTGGGGAAGTGGTTCGCCCTCAGCTGGAGGCAGTGGAGAGATCACTTTGACTCTGCGCTTGGTCTTTCTGGTGATTCTATTGCACACTGCTTCAGGCTCCACCACTCCCTTTATAGTCACCTGGTTTTTGTCCATATCAATTTCAACTCCCTCTACTCCTGAAATTATAAAAGAAAATACGATCAGGAATACAATGAGACTATTGAAAATCTATTAACGATATATTCCGAATAGAATTCAGGAATTTCTAAATTTAGATGACGGAAATAATGATAATTTAATTTCGGGAATTTTTTACCTCGAATTTTCATGATGGACCTTTCGACTTTTTTGGCGCATCCATCACAATGCAAGTCCACGTACAAAATGAGAGGAGAAGGTGGCTTTGGTTCCTCCTCCTTCTTCTCTTCTTGCTTCTCCTCCTTTTTCTCTTCCTTCTTTTCTTCTGCCTTCTCCTCTGGCTTAGCGTCTACCTTAGCTTCTTCCTGCTGAAGCATTTCACCAATAATATAATACATTGCAAAATAGAACATTAAAAACTCGAGACTACTATGTGCAGGAAAAACATAGGCGCAAATAGAACATTAATTAAGCTTCGTAAACAAGTGATGTATCCGGAATTCAACGTACATGAGTTGAAGAGAGATTAAAATAAAATTAAGAATTCATACGCACAACGAACCGAAGCTATATTCATTTCGATGTATACACCGTGATAAATTGAACCCAAACCATTTTGGTTATTTGGATTTGCTGATCAACATAAAGCAATGGTTCTTGAAAAGAATTATATTAGACAAAGAATGACACTATGCTTCATCAAAAGCAAAAGCATGCAAAGAAAATCAAAACCCAAAATCATCATCATCGTTACCTGTTTGGCCTCTTCACCCATGTCTTCTCTCTGAATGATGAACCCCCTCTTGCTTGAAGTAAGTGGTATTAAGTATCTTGAGAGAGTAACCTAGATATAGTTTAGACTTTCGGTTGATACAAGGCAATTTGCTAAAGTCAGGCTTATCTGGATTCCAAAGCACATGCAGTGCCACTAGCAAGAATGTGCAAAAGTATATCAATTCTCCTTAGTTTAACATTTCTTTTGGGATTCTCTTCATCTCCTCAAAGGCTGAAGAAGGTAGAAATGGAGGGAGGAGATAGTGAAGTCAGGGTTTGCATATTTATAGGCAGTGAGTGTGTGTCCGTGTCTGAGAGAGAGAGAGAGAGAGTTCTCAATTAATCTTCACCCGTCGGTAGATCCTTCATGAAAAGGTAATGTAGGGTCACGCACATGTGTGGGGTCATGAATGGACTATACCAAGGAAAGCTAAACCTAATCAATCTTTCCTAGCCAAAAGAATAGATGCATACTCTTAATTCCTAAGCAATACAAGTGGTTTGTCCCTTGGCCAAAAAAGAGCTTATGGTTTGGGTCACGTAAGATGGGAAATGGAAGGTGCGAGAGTCGAATTCATGCTTGGTGGATGGTGCATGATTGCAATTTTCAAGACCACTATATCTCGCAAAATTAAAATTCTAGCTAAATAAAGGAGTTTGGTGATTAGATACAATCCTGTCGTTTCGCAGAAATGTTACTAGATGGGTCATGTCGATTATATGACATAATAAATCATCCTTTTCTTTTCTCTTCTTTTTTTCTTTTCCTATATAGCAAGTATCAACGAAGTGATTAGCCAGCTAATGTTTAGAAACGAATGATTTGATTGCTTTTCAGGCGAATTCAATGTATGGTATGCCGTGGTTTGTCTACAGCCAAAAGACGATGTTGTATGGTTTGTGGATCTGTCTGCCTGTTGATCTATATAACTGGGCCCAAGCTTTGATTAAACGTGGAGTTGAGAAATGAGAAGTTGTGACTTATTGTGCTCTTATTCTGTGGCTCCTAAGATGATAAAAGTATATATCCAAACACGTCATGTAGAAGAGTAAATTATTATTATAACTATCATATTTGCCAACTTAGTCAAAAGAAATTAAAATGTCAGCATCAAATGCGAAAAGCTTTCTCGTTTGGTAACTTGAGTTGGGATTGTTGAAACGTGGAGGTTGGGAAAAGCCAAGAAAGTTTGACGTGCAAATGACTGTGCATTTGAAAGTTGATGCCACATGGTTCCTTAACAAATGAAACTTATGTGAATTAAGTACATTTTTTTAAACCCCTTTTTCCCTTTCCAGTTCTTTCTTCGTCTGCACTTTTAGGTCATCCGAAAGCTGTAGCTTTGTTAAGTCTCTTACCAACTTTGTCCCATCCGAATTGATTTTTCACCACCTTACCCAACTGCATTAACCCACAAAATGGACTGATTTCGATTTGGGCACACATCTCCTTCGATCAAATCAAAGAGTTATTTTATACCTACCGAATTTGGTTCGACAGATTTGACCGATAAGATAACGTGATAAATTCAAACTGGACATGTAATTAAAGTGGACATATTACTTTTCCAGTTTATGGTGTAATCTAATCTTTGTTACCTCTAAAATTCATCCTCCTTCCAAATTCTCTCCTTTCTTTCTTCACTTTCCCACATGAAGAGGAGGAAAAAAGAAAACTTGCAAGAACAGAAGAAATGGACATGTAAGAGCAATACAGGAAAGAGAAGGCCGGCTTACAAAAGTCAGACAAAAACACGTGTAAATGACTCAGCATGGGACGCCAATCAAAGACTCCAACTTAGGCTGCTCACTCGTCAGATCTTTAATGACTGCAAATTTTTGGCCCGCCAAGAGATCTTCCAGCTGATCCGATGCGAAAGTCTCCAAAGAACAGCCACAGAAAAAGGATGACCCTCCAATGATGAATCCTCACTTTTTCCTGATTATATCTTTACCAACCGCTCTTTTTTCTTAATTAAATCAACAGATTCTAATTAAGGGGGGTGCATATGCACCTCTTTGGTTTGGCATGGGCGGCTTGGGGAATCTAGACGGTTGCTTAGCCACGTAAGGCATTAAGCCACATATTTTCTTCCGAAAGTGAAAGCAGGAGGCTGGTAGGTGTGGTTAGTTCGTATGAGGATCGGTTTGCTAAAATTAAGGTTACAAAAATAGGGAATCCCTCTAAAAAGAGAACACACGTTCAGGTGCCAAATGCAGGACCAAGCAAATTCAGGAGATCAACCTAATCCATGGGGAATGAGGATTTCCTGCGTTAAATGTATTTTCCCAAATTATATTCTGCAGCAGGACTAACTGCTCAATCGTGGGGAAGGCATCTTACGAGAGGATTGACGGTGTATCAATCCTTTCTTTGAATGCAGGCAATACGATAGAAAGACGACATCAATGGCAAGTTTCCAAATTAATGACAGAACAAAAATTACCCCATGATATTCTGTTTGAGACATTATTTTTTAGTACATTACAGGATTAGGGGTAACAAGTACAGTTAAGGGAAACTCCATCTTTGCCTACTCACGTCGTTCACTAAATTTCTTTACTGTACAGATGAATGCTGGTGCTCTGACAAATATACTTCTGCCAAAGCGGCATGTACTGCTGCTCCTATTGGGAGCACGTCTTCATCGAGGAAAAAATAAGGGGAATGCGGGGAATGAACTGACCCCACGTCCTTGTTTCCGATGCCAATGCCGAGCATGAAGCCAGGAATCTGTTCTTGGTAGAAGGCGAAATCTTCGCCGGCCATGACCTTCTTGCCTACAATGACATTTTCGGTACCCAACAGAAGCCTCCCGACCCTCTCGACATGCAGTGTTAGAGCTTCGTCATTCACAACAGCCGGATATGTTGGATGTTCATCCTCTTTCATGTCGATATAGGCTTTACATCTGTGTACAGCCGCCTGACCTTCAATGACCTGCAAAAATTCTTTTTTAATGGAGGGACTGCCTAATAATGTCAACATGAATCAGCTAGCTTTGTGCAATTATTTACATAGCATTGCTATTCTTGGAGTTGGAGGCTTTGTTGTGGGGTTATGTATTCACCATAAGCACTTAAAAAAGAATGAAAGAGATGAGAAATTGAGAGGTTTCTGATTGCATCTACTGAGCGATGCAATTTGGATAGAGAGTGTCCAAACAAAGAACTGCCCTTGCTTCTAGATATAATGAAAGTGAAATGGGTACATATTTATGATGAATACCTCAATCAATCTCCTCTGGAGTTGTTGCAGGCCTTCAGTTGTTAGACTCCTGAGCGAGCCACCAAATTTGACGATTGGAGGAATTATATTCAATCCACTCCCACCTCTAACATAGGTAACAGAGACCACCTTCAAACAAAAGAAAATGATTGCATTAAGTCACCTGAAACATACTTTGACCAAGAATGGCATACCGAGCCACAGAAATAGTAGCTCGATGGCTGCCTCAGATAAAATGCCATCTGTCCATGAACCCAAAGCTACGGGACGGGTGACTATGTAAAATAAAGTTGGCGACTAAAAGGTACTCCATGAATGAAGTTAATGCATAAGCTATAACTTAGTAACTCCCAATAGCAGAGTGGTTTAACAGACAAAAATGCATTGAAAATGTAGCTAGTACACAAAGTCCATGTCTGTAAAGCTTCCTGAGGGGCCAAATTGATGTGGAATGATAAGAGGATAAGAAAAGGATGTATTTGAGATACGGTTCATTAACAGTGTATAAGAAAACTTGTAAAGAACCCAGCTTCAAGCACTGTTATGGCACCGTTTTGGAGAGGGTGTAAAACCCAGCGGATGAGGCTCTGCGCAATTTCATTTAGCTAGTCAACTACCGAGTATCACAATGCAGTGTGCAATGGAGTAAGCCAAAATCTTATGTAACAGAGTCTCAAAGATACGTACTTCACTGAGGAGCGGATCAGCTTCTCTTGAGACAAGCTGTTGAAGTGCCAAGATGGCGAATGAAGCAGCGAGTACCGGATCCACGCTATTATGAGGTGCTGCCGCATGCCCGCCTTTTCCTTCTATTTTAGCTTCAAAGATGCAAACAGCAGCTAAGTTCGGGCCAGCGAGTGAAGTTATGATTCCTGTGGGCGTTGTATAATCATTATGCATTGCAAATATTGCTTCAGCATCACCCAGCGCGCCTTCTTTGATCATGTGGGTAGCACCAGCTCCTCCCTCTTCAGCAGGCTGGAAAATAAGTCTTACGGTCCCCTGACCAAGGTAAACAATTCAAATTTCTAAGTCCTCTGCATCATCAACAATATGAGAGTAAATGTAATGCAATCGCCGTCCATAGTAAAATCTGGCTGCTGGAAACAGCCTTATAGTTATAGATCACGTAATTGTGATGAAAAATTTGCGGAATTAAGAATGTTACTTCCTGGTTTATCAGATTTCCTGATTAGTCCATAAGCCTAAACCCACCAAGACAGAAGATGGAGATGAGCTGAATCTGAAAAAAAGGAGTCCTAGCTAGCCTCCTTGTTCGAGCATAAGGCAATTGGTGTCACCAGATCTAATCCAGTGCTACACCAGCTCTAAGCCTAACACTTGTAACTCGTGAGAGTCTCATAGGTCAAATCGACATTTTCAATATTTTCAACTGCATGACAGTAATTGAAGGATGGCAATCTCAAGATGGTCCCCTGGCCTTTAAGTAGAGCAGTCTAAAGTTGTCGATTTAAAGAAGTCTACTGCACTGAGCAAATAGCCAAGTACCCCGTTGCTTGCTCGCCACACAGAAATCTTACCCAATGCAGAGGCATGAACTCGATATTTAGGCCTCAAGTTCTAAAATCAAGGTTTGGTTACACAGTGAAAGGGACACTTACAAAGTAATAGAGGCTCCAAACACTAGAGAAGCAAACAAGTTCTTGCACTTCTATAATCTAAAAGGCAAAGTAGGAAAAATGACTACAAGTAACGCCATTATATGCCACATACTTCAGTAGCACACAGCGGTCACAGACTCTCTCCAACTCTACTGAGGCGAAGTAAAGAACTGTCATTTGATTGACTGCAAGTAAACACTGACCTTAAGTTTATCTTTCCGTTCATTCAGTAATTTCGCAGCACCAAGAAGCATGGCCGTATGGGCGTCGTGCCCGCAAGCGTGCATTTTGCCATCAATTCTGCTCTTGTGCTCCCACTCGACAAGTTCCTACACTCCGGCAATTGACCAAACCTTTTTAAGCAAATCCATAGATACACAAAAACAGAACAACAAAAATGTAAAACATTGAAAAGAACCAACAAAAAACAAAATCTCAGGAACTCGTCAAACACTCGCCTATAGTCAATGTGTGGGCACCCATATAATTCATACCTTACACATTACTTGACATACTTTCAAATGTATAAGATTCACATGAAGCCCAGAACATAGACAAAGGTATCTCAAACAGACAACCAAAGCATGGGACCACAACAAGAACAAGAATAAGGGACAGAACACAAACCAAAGTTATCCACATTTTAGCTTTTAGGCATTCACCAGAGCTCTGTTACCATATTTAAAAGGAAAGTGTATATCAAGCACATTTCTTGACGGGCAAAAGAACCGAGTACAGCCCTACCACCTATTCAATTTTCGAAAGCCACGATCGATGGATCGATCCTGTCGGGTCACCAGCGGGGCTTGCTTTTGTTTTACCTGCAAAGGCAAGGCGTCCATGTCGGCCCGGAGGGCGACGACGGGCCATGACCCGGACCCGACGACGGCGACGACGCCGGTGCCGGCGAGGGGGTAAGAGTAGGGGATGCCGAGCCGGTCGAGCTCGGCCCGGACGAGGGAGCTGGTGTTGTGCTCCTCGAACCGGAGTTCCGGGTACTCATGGATCCGCCGCCGGACGGACGTGAGCCACGGCTGGTCCCGCTTCGCCGAGCCCAGGAGCTCGTCGGCGTAGGCCCGGTCGTAGTGGTGGTGGCTGCTGCTGCGGCCGGCGGCGGCGGTGGCGGCGCAGCGGACGGCGTGGAGGGAAGCGGCGAGGAAGACGAGGGCGAGGAGAGAGCCGTTCCTCAGTTGGCGAGCCATCTCCCGAATTTGATGAGGGGAAAACGAGGGAACAGATCGGAGCAAGCTCGATGCTTCGACGTCGGACAGTAGTTAGTCAAAGAGGGGAGAGACGATGGGGAGAGAGTTGGAAGACGAGATTTTTTAATGATTAAGTGAAGCCGAGGAGGATGAAAGTACAGCAAAAGGGGTGGTGGCGCAGTTGGCTAGCGCGTAGGTCTCATAGCTTTAAGAGTTATCCTGAGGTCGAGAGTTCGAGCCTCTCTCACCCCATTCCCTTCTCCTGTTTTGTTTTTCCTTTGCTTTTTTCTTCATCGGTTAAAAAAAAACAAACATAATTATGTTTCTGTTTTGCTCACGTTAATTGGCGACGTTTTTCAGGCGATCCTCTCCCGCTCACCAACATCTGATCTGAGGTTTTTTTCACCTCAACTTGGATGCATAACTCCGAAGATGCAATTTTCGAAATAAATATGGGAAGCGTTCGTTGGAAGTCTTAAAACTTATCATGAATTGTCATAAAAATGAAATTAAGTTCTTAAACTTACAAAAAGTGCAACGAAGTTCTATAAAACTTGTCAAATTGGTTTAATCGAGTCATAAAGTTAACACCGTCTGAATTACTAACGGAAAATTATTGGCACACGCTGATGTGGCTTATTTCAATATTCTCTCTCCCACACGACGATGACATGGCTAAATTATGAAACATAAGACTTAAACAACATTGTTTTTGCCCAAATTAAGTTTTAATATTAATTTTATTTAAATAAAATTTAAAAATAAGCTAAATGATTTTGTTATTTTTTTTAAGAGGAGAAGTCAGGGGAGGGCTGCAAGCCGGCAAGCCCTTGTCGCCGCCGCCGCCCCACCATCACCAGGAGGGGCCGGCAAGGGTGGGGGATGGCCGGTGGTGGTCGCCGAGCCCCGACCAATGGCTTGTAGGCCCTCGCCTTGCCGATGGCAAGCGAGGGCCTACAGGCCTTCCCCTAGACTAGGTGAGGGTCATCGGCTCTCGCCCAGACCTGTCCGAGGGCACCACTAGCGGCCGACCTCCGCTAATGGCGGCCCTTGAACAGGTTTGGGAGAGGGCCGAGGACCCTCGCCCGATCTGGGGAAGGGTCGCGAGCCCTCACCTGCCGTAGGCGAGGGTTGCCGGCCCCTGGCCGAAGACTAGCGGCAAGGGCTTGTAGCCCTCCCCGACTGCTTTCTCCTCCTCCTTCTTTTTTTTATTTAAATATTTAGCTTATTTTCAAATTTTAATTTACATAAAATGTGTAAAAAGTAATTTAAAAAAAGAGCCACATCATCACCGCGGAAAATAGAAAAAATAATACCAAAAAAGTCACGTCAGCATTTTTTATTAGCCAAATTAAATGGAGTTAACGAAAGCGACTCAATTGAATTAATTTGATAAGTTTTAAAACTTTCAATATCCCAATAAATAATTTGGCCAAAGTGAGACAAGGCTTCTGGAACGTAAAAGAGTCAAATGGAGCTTACGCAGCAAATTCAAAAAGAGTGCTCGACGCACACACTCTGACTAAGCCGATGCCCACTTCTCGTCATCTTGGTCTTCGGGGGCTCGGAAGCTTTGTCAAACCATCCTTATCCTAATAATCATCCGTTAGAAAAAGATGACGTCGCTTGTGGGGCGTTTTACACTTCGTCGAGCCTCGCAACTGTAGTGGCGCGTAGAAGTCACAAATGCATGGTGATCGAAATAGGAATGAGGAATTACAAGCTCTCGTGAATACTTGTATCTGTCAATGAGGACATTACTTTGCCCGAAAACGATTGAACTTGCTGTGATCTACACACGCATATCTCAGAAAACGATTGAATTTGCTGTGAAAACACATGTAGCTCCACTGATCCGAATCCATGTATTGAATGATCCCTCGGCCGCCCTCTGTATATTCACTTATTCAGCATTATCACGACAATGTTTCTGTACAATTACAATCTGCTGTAGTCAGCCAGAGCAAAACTCTCTCGCGACATAGAACAAAAAGAAGAAAACAAAAATTCCCTAAATCTCTCGTGTACAGACTGCGTATCATCTGTGGAATGTACATCTATCTACTTCTCTGGATTTTTCATGTCTCTCTCCTTCCTTCTTTCACTGCTTCTATTAGCTTCCCCAAAATTGCATCGACACCCGAGGGAGCAAAACCCCAAAGGCTTAAGATTCAAGTATAGCTACTCTCGAAAAATAAGTGGGTATAGGAAGTCATGGAGCAAAAATGTGCCTAAACACTAGGACCGATAAAGATGGTGAAAATAATCTGAAATATGGGTGAGGGAAATGACAAAACTGAAATGAGCTTCTCACGGTATCCCTTAGTCCACTCATGGCATGGGTCTGATGAGATGCTTATGGATGGCAAAGAATACCGTGATCGTGTCATAATTATACCTCAGCATTGGGAGAATGTAACAATACGCCAACTCAAGTTGTGAGCTAGACCAAGATCTTTCTGCTCTTACTGGAGCTCGAGACCATATCTTCTTCTTTGCTTTGGACCCTAGATCCAAGGAGCCAGATGCACCAGATAAGCGTCAGGGTATTAACTGTGAGCACGGCATTTTTATAGGTGACAACACCACAGTAAGTCGAGCGTGATCGGAGAGGGAATAGTCTTCAGGCCACCTTCCTTTCTCCACTTCAGGCGGGAACAGAACTGCATTTTTCACACTGAAACCGATTGTTTGCTCCTGACAACCTTTTCCATCTTCAAACTCGCTTTTCTCTTCCGTCTTTTGTTCTGACCAAGAGGGGTTCCAGATTCGTTGCTGCATCACCATGTTTATCATAAATAATGCATTTGAAAACAAGGCAGTAAGACATTCATTTTGATAGGACATAGTTTTAGACACATTAAATTCACTGAGCATAGTCATTAATAGACCTGCTCATTGGGTGGGCTCATGCCCAAACCTCCTCAGCTCCTGCCCAGGCCGCCCCCAAGGGAAAAACATGGGCAGGCCAGGTCTGTACAATATTAGTGTTTACAAAGTAAAGTTATTAGTAACACATAAATCTCTTTTAACCAACATATATGAGGGGGGGGGACTGTTGATCAGGTCTCGTCATCAAGCAAACACCGTCGCAAGCAAAAGCTCTTTCAATTATTCTCACAAGCAGGCAACGATTGTGTAAAATAGTGGGCTAAAAGCAAATAAAACAGTGGATCCTGCTAACACCAAATTGAAGAAAGCAAGGAATATGTGGATTCTAAAGATGAGAACAAATCCAGAGGCTTGTTTCTCCAAGAAAGAACACATGGATGTTACTAATTCCATTAAGTTGATAAGAATCTGATTTACCTGAAACTCTTCAAAAGTGACAAAACCTTTGCCATCGATATCTGCTTGGACCCATAAGTCCTTTGTCTCTTCAGCACTAAGCCCATGGCTGGGGTCAGTCAATTTGAGCTACCAAAAAGTAGACAACTATTAGACTACTATAGGTCTCATTGACATGCCTGTGAAACAGTCTAAAAGTACTAAACACCAGTTCTATTAAAAATAACATGCCCTACCTGTCTAAGTGCTTCACAGAAACCCAAGTAGTTGATATAATCACCAGGATTATCAGCCTTGAGAAACGCAAAAGCCCCTTTTTCTGTCGGCGAAGCTCTCCTCAGTAAATACTGAGACAAAAGAAAGCTCGTGGTCAGTAACACAAAAGTAAAGCGATTAGCTTTAATGCACGATGGTTGAGATCTGAAAAGGAAGATCAATCTACATTAACAAGTAATAGCTACTTTGATAGTGAAGATTCTAATCCTGAGAAAACTTACTTTTACTTGATCAGTTGATATATCAGAGTTGTTGAATATAAATGGATGGTGTTCAGTTAGCTAAGAACTGTATACATTACAAGGCCCAACATGAAATATTATTGAATATAAAAAAATGCTTCAACCTCAAAAATGAAATCCCTCTACAATCACAAGGCACTGTTTTAGCTATAGACCAATCATAGGTGCACTAAGTTAACAAAAGAATATTCACGATAGCTATGTGATTTAATACTTCTGTCATACTTTCAAAAAAGCATCTGCATGACCACAATTGGAAAAAAAAAAAAAAAATAGTTAGGTCAAGTCAACAAAACACAAAATCAAAGTCATAAACCATTCTAAGGTTGGAATCAGACGAGGATATGTGCAGCATTAGTAAAGAAGAAAGACGCACAGATCCTCGATATAACATAAATCTCCATGTGTGTATTTTTAGGATCCTGTCTCTTATGATAGAAATGATATCAAAATATAATCGTCAATGCCAGACAATGAATCCTAGCATGTTGAGGAAAGAGCAGAAGCTTAAACGTAAATTAATGGACAAGACATCTTCGACATGCATCGAATGGCTGTAAGGATAGTGGCAGTTCAGCTCAGTAGGAGATACCACAGGATATAGATAAAATCAAACATCTTAAACTATTTATGACAACGTACAACAGCATCATATATATGCAAGTAATTGTGAGTGATTCATAGGAGTCCATAGGTTAAACTGGAAAACTTACCTTGAACATGCCAAACACGGTCTCAATCCAACTTGTCTTTAGTAATTTTCTATAGCTGTTAGGATTGAGGAGCCATATAAAATCTACACCACAGATATTTCCTCGATGATTCCTGTGGCTAACCCACTGAACAACAAAAAGGAAAACATGAATCAATAAGCAGAGAGAATGCGGTAAAATAAGTAAATAAACAGAAGTTCAGAGCTAAATTTTGGTCTAAAGAACCTTGTGCGCATCTGCATCAGTGTACTGGTGAGCAGTATCATAGGAGGAAACAAACCCCTGAGACCTAAGGAACTTATAAACATGGCCGCGTTTACTTCCATTCCAGTCGCTGTGAAAAGTGGGCACAAGATGAAGGATACAAAGATCAACACAACTTCTAAGAAAGATGTTTAACTCTCCGGAAGTGAAACCACGAACTAATTTACCCGCAGAGTATTATCGGCAAGGAATTCAGGTTGTTTTCTTTCTGATATGATTCCACAGATTGCAAGATATTGTACACCTGTTACCCAAGATAGTAAAGGAATCTTGAGCTGAGACATGACTGCTAATGGGACCGGTAGAAAACC